CCGACAAAAAAAAAAAAAAAAAAAGAAAATCCCTAAATCAAGAAACTGTCAGGTCATCTTTAGTAGCATGGGCAGAGGGTCCCACTTGCTGTCACCAAACAGGCTCCCTAATGGGATTGCCCTTACCCTGAGGCCCAGGCACTCCTGGGGAGGGCTGTCCTCCTGGCCACAGTGGCGGCAGCAGCTTCATCCAGCATGCCTGCATCTGATCCTTTCAACAAACAGAACTTTCCACAACATGAGAAAAGGTAATCTCCATATCAAAGAAGAGCCTGTCTCCTGAACGTTTAGTCTCTGGGCTTCAAGTAAACAAGTCAGAAGAAATTGTACCTGACTCTTCCCAAGTGACCCAGAGTTACAACTGACTAGCACCTTTCTCTAAGTCCCTAGAAACGCAGGGACACTGGGAACCATCCCCTGTGGGGTCCCTGCAGATTCAGGCTAGGCCAGAGGTTTCAGGGGTCCATAGTGTGTGACTAGGGGAGGGAGCAGCACCTGAGAGGTGGGGGTATACCTGGGCACTGAGACAGGTCGAGAAAGCCTCTCTCAGGCAGGAAGCCCTTAGTCAATGCCGCTTCTCCCATAGCATTTGGCCAAGGCTTTGCACCTAGAGGTGTCTAATACGTTTGTTGATTTGATTTTACTGGATCCAGACCAACCTGGTGATGCAAGGCCTGCTGGTAACTACACTGCCTTCCTCAGCTCCCCTGCCCCTGCAAGGAGCTGCCGGACAGTCTTGGTTTGGTCTTCAGTCAGGCCTTCAGTGACCACCTGGAGGGTTTCACCAGCATTATGGGTTGAATTGTGTTCCCCCACTCCAATTTATGTTGAAGTTCTGACCCCCATTACCTCAGAATGTGACTTTATTTGGAAATAGGATCATTGCAGAGGTAGTTAATTAAAATGAGGACAGACTAGAGTGGGTGAGTCCTACTTCATATGACTGGTGTTTTTATAAAAAGGGAAGATCTGGACAGGCAAGGTGGCTCGTGCCTGTAATCCCAGCACCTTGGGAGGCTGAGGCAGGAGGATCACTTGAGGCCAGGAGTTCAAGACCAGCCTGGGCAACATAGCAAGACTCTGTCTTTACAAAAAATTAAAATCAGGCTTGGTGGCACACACATGTAGTTTCAGCTACTTGAGAGGGTGAGGCAAATCGCTTGGGGCCAGAAGTTTCAGGCTGCAGTGAGCTATGATTGTGCCACTGCACTGGGCAACCCAGTAAAACCCTGTCCCTAAAAAATTTTATTAGCTGGGCTCGGTGGCTTGGCCTGTAATCCCACGCTTTGGGAGGCTGAGGTGAGTGAATTGCCTGAGCCCGCGGGTTCGAGACTCGCCTGGGTAACTTGGTGAGACCTCATCTCTAC